ATAATACCCAAATATCTCACTGTTTTCTTCACTTCAAATTCTGTTTTCTCCTTAATATCTTTCATTTCTTTCTCAGTTAAGTTTATTGGCAACAATTATTTTTGTTCACCAAATATCCTGATAATTCACCATAATATTCCAATATCTTCATTAAATTTTTAATATTTTCTACACGATTAGCTAAAGTTGTCACAACCTCATCCGTGTAAGCTCTTAGCTTATAAGTCATTCCCTTTACTTCCACACCTTCTATCCAATCATCTATTCTAATATTATTTAGTAATATCTCTATTGTCATCAAAAATAATAAGGGTGACAGTGGACATCCCTATCTCACTCCTCTGAAGATATTAAATGGTTTTTATCTTTCTCCATTAACTATAATGTTAGCTTCCCATTTATTATAAATCATTTCCATCCATTTTAATTTTCCCCCATATCTAATTTTTTTCATTACCTCAAACATGAATTTCCAGCTTATATTGTCGAAGGCCTTCTCTGCATCTATAAATATCATCACCAATTTCCTATTAATGTTTTTTTTTCATGTAATTCGATTAAATTTAGTATGTTTCTTATATTATCCTTTATCATTTTTTTGGATTGATCTTCATGTATCCAATTAATTAGATTTTTAAAAATCTTTCCGCAAGTATAGATGTTAATAATTTGTAATCTGAATTCAATAATAAAATAGGTCTGTAATTTTTTGGATCAGTCAGATCTTTATTTTGTTTTGGAATTAATTTTATATTAGCCTGGGTCCATGTTTGAGGTAATTGTCCCTTAATTAGCCCATTCATAATTTTATGAAGTGGTTTTACCAATTGTTTCATAAATATTTTGTACTATTCATTGATAAACCCATCTGGGCCCAAGGATTTACCCCTTTTACTTTTCTGTATCACATTTATTATCTCCTCCACCAATATTGGCTCATTTAATTCTCTCTCTCTCTCTCTTTTTTTTTTTGGAGTTCTGTCAATTTTACAATACTGCTTATCCAAATATTTCCTTACTTTGTCCTTTTTCAGTTCTGTTTTTTCATATAATTTTTAATAGTATCTTGTAAAAGCCTGAATTATTCAGGTTTATTTAGTCCAAGTTTTTTGACCTTCTTTTAATTCCAAAATAGTATGTTTTAGATGTTATTTCCTCAGTTTGTAGGCTAACATTTTATCTGGTTTATTTGCATACTCAAAAAAATTTGCCTAGTAAATTTTATTTTTTTTCCTATTTCTTCTACCATTAGTATGGAATTTTTTTTTGAGATATATTGTATTGCTTTAAGAATTTTCTTATTCTTTGGCTCTTTTTTCAAGATCTGTTCTTTTCTCTCTAATTCTTTGTTTAATTCACCCAATTTTTCTTTTTCTTTTTTGTTCAGATGCTTTCTTTATAAACAGTCCTCTTACCACTGACTTCAAAGCATCCCATACAATTTTTAATGATACCTCCTTATCTAAATTTTCTTTAAAATATAAATTTATGTTTTCACCAAATTCTCTTAATATCTTTTCATTTTTCAATAAATTATCATTCAGTTGCCAACTGAATTCTCTCTTTCCTTTCATTAGATATAATGAAACAGGGTTATGGTCAGACCATAATTTTGGTAGTACATTCATTTTATCAGTTTTTGCACACATTGTTTCCAAAATTATAAACATGTCAAGTCTCAACTACAATTTATGCCTACATGAGTAATGTGTGAAATCTTTAGAATCTTTGTATTTGGCTCTCCAAGCATCTTTCAGTGCTAAAAACTCTGTCAGGTCGAAAAATTCCTTAGGTAGTTTTCCTTGGTTTTCTTTAATTTTTTTCTGATTTCCTATCTAATTTGGGATTTATAACCCCATTTCAATCTCCCATAAGAATCATTGAATCATAATTTAGTGTTTGCAGTAACTTCAGTAAATTTCAATAAAATTTTCCTTTATTTTCTAATGGGCCATATATACCCACCATCAGAATCTTTTGGTTTTGATCATTTAATTCCACTCCAATGTATTGCCCTTGTTCATCATTTAAAATTAATTTCATGTCCAATCTAGAATTAATATCTATAACTACCCCTTTTTTCTTATAATTAGAAGCCACAACAAATTCTTGTCTGATTCTTGGGTATCTTAAGTGTCTAATATCTTTCTTTTTAATTCTCGTTTCTTGCAAACACAAAATGTCATATTTTAATTTATAAAGGTAATGGAATATTTTTTTTCCTTTTTTTGGGGAGTATTCATCCCTTGTACATTCCATGTTAATATTTTAAACCAGTCCTGCATCTTTAAATTATTCATGTTAAATTGGATAAAACTGAACAAAAATCGATATTTTAACTTTCCTCAATTGTATAGATAAAGAATTATATTCCTTCCTCTTTTGAAGCAATCTTATAGGCACATCTTTAAAAAAAATTAGGTCATGACCTTCAAATTCAAAAGGAATATCATAATGATATTTTAACAACAGGTCCCTCATTTGTTTTCACACAAAATAAATGACTACATCGCGTGGCAGATTTTTTTTTTTTGCCTTGCAATGTAGGAATTCAGGCGATAACAAAAAAAAATTTCTTCTCTATCCAAAAATATTACTAGTTTTGGAATTATTTTTGTCCACAAACCCTCATTTTTTTCCTCTGGGAGGACTCTTATTTTAATGCATTTTTCTCTCATATTTTGATTCCAGTTTGCTTCTTCATCCAACTCATCTTCACATCTTTTTTTTTAACATTTCTATCTCCACCTCCATTTTATCACTCCTTTGTTCTAAAGCGTCAATGTTTTGTTTTGTCATTTGTACAATTTACTAATTTACTAATTTATCCTACTAATTTACTAATTTATCCACTGTTTGGTTAATTTCCTTCAAATCTGCTCTTATCTCCCTCTTGATCTTTTTTAAAAAAATCTTTCATCTCTTCTCTTATAACAGATCCCATTTCCTCAATTTTGTCTAGCAATAATTGATGTATGTCTATATTTTTTTGTTTGTCCAAAGAAGGTCTTCTTTGTTGTTGTGGTTGGCTATTCATTTTGGCTGTCTGGCTTCTAGAAGTCATTTTCTCTGCTCTTTCCATATTATCCTACAAGTATCAGCATACACTGCACTGTGACACAAGTTGCATTATTTCTGGCAGTCTGTAAAGGCTCTTAGTCTCATTAAGGTCTCAAAAAGCTTCTTATTCAAGATAAAAAAGTCATAACTTACAAGTATGTTAAAAATTGGTGGCATCCCTGTGCATTAATGATGCAATTAAACTGAATGCAGCCATGACTTGCTCTTCGGCTCCTTCTGAGTCTCCTGATCCTCCGCCTTTGTCCATCCTGGAACAAAGCCTGGATCTCCGAGCTTATCAGGAATCAAGCCTCCACTGAGCCCCCTCTGTGCCAAGAGAGAATTTTCTGACCTTCATTGTTTGTCTAAAGGTCCTGTCACTGCTTTCATTAATCAGCCCCCATCATAGACCTGTTGGGAGCTTCTAATCAGGGCACCATAGCCAACCAGAACTGTCAGCCAGTAGTCTTATTATGACAGAGTGGAGAGACCACCTCATAGAGCCTGAAGAAGAGTCTATGGATCTTGGTGAAATTATAAATGTATATAAAACTATTGCCTTGGGTGTTCAGATGGTGGAGTTAGGTGGAAATTATCTCAAGGGGTTTACTTAAGGGAATCCTTTTCAATGGTATTTTTTACAGTTAGCCATAATCTTTGTCATTTCTGCTATCAATGGGCAGGGACCTTTGTCTCCACTGGTATAGTGCACTACTGGCAATCAATAAATTCTACCTTACTTCCTTGCATGCCTGCAGTCCAGGAAGGTGGCCTCCATGGACCTGCTGTAGGGATTAGGCAGTTGTCTGAATAAGAATAGACAAAAGCCACAAATGTGGCTGAACACTATTTTTGGTCTCTCTAAAGCGGTAAAGTTACTTTTAAACTTTATTCATCATAATAAATTTCTTATAATTCAATTATAGAATCATAGAGTTGGAAGTGACCAATCCCCCTGCCATGCAGGAAATCACAAAGCATCCCCGACAGATGGTCACCCAGTCTCTGTTTAAAGACTTCCAAGGAAGGAGACTCCACCACACTCCGAGGGAGTGTGTTCCATTGTCGAACAGCTCTTACTATCAAGAAGTTACTCCTAATGTTGAGGTGGAATCTCTTTTCCTATACCTTGCATCCATTGTTCCGTGTCCTAGTCTCTGGAGCAGCAGAAAACAAGCTTGTTCCATCCTCAAGGTGACACTCCTTTAAATACTTAAACAGAGCTATCATATCACCTCTTAACCATCTCTTCTCCAGGCTAAACATACCCACCTCCCAAAGTTAGTGATATTGCATGGAGAGCCAGTGTGGTGTAGAGGTTTGAATGTTGGATGAGGATTCCAAGAAATCAGGGTTCAAACCCCTGCTCAGTCAAGCAAAACCAGTTGATAACCCTGGAGAAATTACACTCCCTCAACCTTACAGGAAGACTATGGTGAACCTCGTCTGAATAAATCTTGCCCAGAAAACCCTACAATATGGTTTCCATAAGCCAGAATCTACTTGAAGACATGTAACAACAACAAATGCTGGAAAATGAATTAGTCTTTGTTCAATAGCATTATTTTAAGTGATGATCATAATGCAGTTATAGCACAAAATAATTAGTTAGAAATTACTAGTTAGTTGTAACTATTTTTTCTGTCCCTAACAAATTCTAATTCTGAAAAACTGAATATCTGTCTTTAAAGCAAAGAAGAGAGAGAAGGGGAATGGGGGAAAGGAATGTGGCAACACCTTTAAGTTTTCATTTTAGCATGAGCTTCTTCAGATGTGTATGTGTGAATTCTGTTATCATTCAATCTGATTTTAATCAGCTGCTCATCTTGTGTTGTTGTTACAGACAGCCTTAATGCAACTGCTTTTAAAATGATGATCTGTATTCACCCAGATCTCATTGTGTCTTCTCTCTCTACCAGCTACAGTACAAATGGATCTTGTGCACCTTCAGACTTTGTACACAGTCTTCTAAAAGAAGTATATTTTCCCCATGAGGTCTCTATGCAGGATAACCAATCAGTAAATAAAACAAAAAAACCCTCTTCCATCTCCAAACTCTGTGCAACAAATACTGACTTACTGAGTATTTGAAGTTTGCTATATTAAATATGCATACACATATAGTTAAATCCTCTTTCTTGTCAAAGACATAAGAATTTTAATGAGGTTATATTCTGCTTCTATCAGCCCAGTCCATCCTTATCTCCAAAAACCAATCTTTAATGATCTTCTATGTCTTTTCTTTAGGCTTACAGTTTGTACCCTACAGTTATTTACCCATATATAAAATTGCAACTTGCAGCTTTAATTAATGCATTCATAGTAGCACTTTGTGCTGGTGAATTTCTCAAATACAGAATAGATGATTTCACATTTCTGACATAAACAAGGGATGATCCATATAATCTTAGGCACACAGAACAGCATATGTACCAGCAGATTCCTGTACCATATCCACTGTTCTTTATTTGTCACCTCCATGTGCCAAGCTATACATGCACAGTGACACAGGCAAAAAGAAGAATGCACCCCAATATTAATAAATATGACCCCTAACTTTATATGAACATGGGCAGCACTGCCAACAAAATAGCCTAATCTGGCATTTATGCAGGTGAAGAATGGGCCATTTTGTGTATGTATTTCTCTTTTCTTCATGATTCCATCAGAAAAATCTCAAAATAGACAGTCAACTTGTTCAGAGAAAGCCTTCAGTGATTTCTGTAATAATAATAATAATAATAATAATAATAATAATAATAA